TTGACAAAATGATGATGTTTTCATGCCGGGGCCGGGATCCGAATACTGACGTAAATCGGGTAGTACCATGGTGTCTGAGTGCCAAATTCCAATGCTCTTACACCGGATCCGAGATACCTTCGTAGTGATCTTGGTGAAGTCAATGGCCATGGCGTTCCGATGGTAGTTGCCAAGATTCTCAAAATCATTGTGAAATTGACTTCCGATGGTATCCGAATATCTACTTCTAAATGCACGCCCGGAGTTAGTACGCTTTCACAACAGGTATGGTTCTTTTTCTTGCTGTGAAGGCTGCTCTAAACTTCGAAGAAGCAGCCTATCTGTTGGAACGGGCACGGACTGCTAGGGAACCAAGGCCAGACCTCTATGGCGGGAGGCTACGGCTCTGTCTATCGAGGACAGACTACGACACACGCGAGGACTACCGACTACGAGCCAGGACTCCTGCCACTATGCCAGGACCCCTGCCACTCCCGTCCTGTCCTGCCAGAGCGCCCCGCTCCACTGTAACATCCGGTTATTACCTTTGCAAGGGCAAAATTTTGTTGTGCGCTCCATGAATCGTCCACAGTTAGCACCGACCAATCCTTCGCCTGGTCCACCTATCAAGGCTATCATTCCTGAAGTCACGTTTACCGTCGCATGGTCACCAGCGCGAACTAACAAGTGCATTTGCCTTCTATGTCAATTAGCATCAAGGAGGTCAGTACTTTACCTTCACTCTCAGGATACGTGACTGACAGTGCGCTAGGAATATCATGATGTCTCAAACAAGGCCATGGCGTGGATGAGTATGATCATTCTCATTCTATGATTTCTACTTACCAGGTTTTGTAAGCACTCCCTTCGTCTCCCTCGCAGCTTCAAGTCATGCCTTTCTATGCCTTGGGGTGGGGTCCTTCTTCCTCCCCTCGGCACACACCCGGTCTATAGATCTGTCTCTGATGAGCTTCCATACGGATAAACTATCCGAGAGCGGCCATTCTCTCAGCATTTCCTTCTCATGAGTTGAAATTTCCGATAAGACTACTAGCCCCCGCTCAACTCAGGGAAAACCTGTCTTTGCTCTCTTCTTTCTAGGCTTTTATCTGTTCCTTCCTCCAAGTTCACTTGGCCACACCAGAACCCGAAATGTCTGCGCAGTGCGTTCCATATTCATATGGCCTCCCGATATTAATCGTCAACAGCGATGATTGCTCATTTCGGTAGCCTCTCGAACTTGAGCATAGTGGACCACGGACAAGATCGGGCAAGGGTCCATCATTTTTAGACAAATTCAAACATCCACATTACTTGCTCGAGCAGTACGAAAATTTGTCCAAAACCAACTGTACTTATTGGCTCCGAGCTAAGGTATTACACCATCAACCATGACACCAAAGCAAAAGCATAAACATGACTCGCTGTCGCGATGTGCCGTTCAGGTTGTTGGCTCAATGTTCAAATACATCGACTAGCAGGTGTAACCTGCACTCTAAGGTGCACAGATGAGTCATGTGATTGAATTCTGGTTGCACGGCGACCTGCTCATACTTACATCATTATCGGCACAAATCAACTTCTGGCAGGAATCAAAGTCTGATGTGCAAATCTCTGTCTCAGTCTTACATGCAGTGACAGACATAGATAATGTCAAAGCAACAACAACCGCGAGGTCGAAAAAACGCATTTTCTGTGCCTAGGCACGGTCGATCATTTTAGATACATTCAAACATGTACATTGCTCGAGCAGTACGAAAATTTTCCAAGAACAACCGTACTGATTAACTCCGAACTAGGTAAATTGCACTCATCACAAAGCGAAAGCCGAACCACGACTCACTGTCACGACGTGCCGCTCAGGCTGCCAGCAGCAGGGTAATCGGCTCGCAGATCGCATTGTCATTCTAAGGGGCGCAGGTGAGTCATGTGGTTGAATCCTTGTTGCACAGCGACCTGCTCACACAAATCAACTCATCGCAGCAGTCGTCTAATTTGCATGTTGTTCCTTCGCTCGCACATGCACTGACAGACATAGATGCTGTCAAAGCAACGACAACCGCGAGGAGGGAGAAACGCATTTTCTGTGCGAGGTGATATGGGTTCTTCTGAAGGGGATCTCGAATGATCTTTGAGGATGAGGGAACACTGTGGGACAACGACCAGCTTTTATATCCTCCATATACTTATGGGCACGATTCTCATCGATTTGGCAGAACTGACTGTTGTCACATGGAACAAATTTCGGCAGAACCTGCGGGTGCGTATTCAATTATTAAATCGTAACCTGCTTGCAGGCATCAAAAATTCTCTTCTTCGTAACGACAGAACCCTCGCTCGAATCGCCGGTCTCGTCCTAACACCTCACTCTTCGCTTCATTATTTGAACCTGCACTGACCCTGCCAGTGCAACGACAAAGTCACGAAGTTAGCATCATTCTCGCCTATACTTCCGATATGTACTCGGTCGATATCTCACGTGATTTTTCGCTTACTGGTTGTTGCCTTATATGAAGCACCTGGAATTCGCCTACGCCATTCGTAGGCCAGTGACCCTGCAACTGCTGCGCAGAGATAATCAGGCATCTTTCGTAAATTGTGCTGCTACTGATTATAAAAAAATAATAACTTTTCCCTTCGTCTCCCTCCGCAGCTTCAAGTCATGTCTTCCTGTGTCTTGGGGTGAGGGTCCTTCTTCCTCCCATCGGCACACACCTGGTCTACAGACCCGTCTCTGACGAGCTTACGTACGGATAAACTTATCCGAGAGCAGCCATTCTTTCCGATAAGGCTACCTGTAGCCCCCGCTCAACTCAGGGAAACCTGTCTTTGATCTCTTCTTCCTAAGCTTTATTTGTTCATTCCTCCAAGTTCACTTAGCCACACCAGAACCCGAAATGTCTGCGCAGTGCGTTCCATATTCATATGGCCTCCCCATATTAATCGTCAACAGCGATGATTGCTCATTTCGGCAGCCTCTCGAACTCGAGCATGCATAGTGGACCACGGACAAGATCGGGCAAGGGTCCATCATTTTTAGACAAGTTCAAACATCCACATTGATTGCTCGAGCAGTACGAAATTTTGTCTAAAACCAACTGTACTTATTGGCTCCGCTAGATATTGCACCATAAACCACGATACCAAAGCGCAAGCATAAACATGACTCACTGTTGCGATGTGCCGCTCAGGTTGCTGGCTCAATTTTAAGACATCGGCTGGCAGGTGTAACCCGAACTCTAAGGTGCACAGATGAGTCATGTGATTGAATTCTGGTAGCGACCGGCTCATACTCACATCATTAGGGGCACAAAGCAACTTCTTGCAGCAATCATAATCTGTTTTGCAAAGCTCGTTCGCATTCTGACATGCAGTGACAGACAGAGATACTGTCAGAGCAACAAAAACCGTGAGGACGAAAAAACGCATTTTCTGTACGAGGTGATATGGAATCTTCTGAGGGAGATATCTCTAAGATGGGGAAACACTAAGACGACGGCCAGCTTTTATATTCTGTGTGTACTTATGGGCATGATTCTGATCGATTTGGCAGAATGGTTATTGCTGTCAGATTCTAGGCAGAACCTGTAAGAGCTTATTCGATTGATTACGGTCATCGTATCATAGTAACCTGACAGCAGGCATCAACGATTCTCTTCCTCTTTATCTTTGCCACCACAGAAATCTCGCTCGAATACCCAGTCTCTCATCCAAATCACCCACTCATCGCTTCATAACTCACTGTCACGACGTGCTGCTCGGATTGACAGCTCAATTTTAAAGCGACCTGCAGGTCCAAAATCCATCCTAAGGCGCGTAGGTGAGTCATGTAGTTGACTTTGGTTACACAGCGACCTGCTCATACTCACTTGGTTAATTCTACAAACCATGGCATCGCAGCAATCTGCATCTTTTAGGCAATCTTCCCTGTATTGGGCACATGCACTGACAGATATTGATGCTGTCAAAGCAACAACAAAAGCGAGGGGGAAACGCATCTTCCGTGCGAACTGATATGGAATCTTCTGAAGGGGATATCGAATGATATCTCCAAGTATGAGGAAACACTATAAGACGGCCAGCTTTCATATCCTGCATATACTTATGAGCATAATCATAATCCTGATCGATTTGGCAGAATTGTTAATGGCACAAATTTAGGCAGAACCTGTAAGAGCTTATTCATTTGGTTACGGCCATTGTATCAAAACCCAAACTCTTTCTGATCGCTTCATCGTTTGAACCTGCAGGAGGTCTTTTATACAGAAAAATTCTGACTTCGTATATCTTTAGTCCATCATCGGGATGAACGTCGAATTAAAGAGATCAACAACGGGACGTAAAGATTTGCTTACTACGTGGTGACCACCATTGCGTTCGCGCTTTTCATGACTTAGTACATCGACATCATGCTTCAGAGACAAAACTGGGTCTACAGACGCCAGGCTACTTTGCTGCAGCGCGCGGTATGGCCCATTCTTTTCCTCAAGAGGTCCGGAGACATCATATCTGAGAGAAACTGGTGGTCTACTGATGAGTCTTATTTATGCAACAATTCCTGATCGAACGAAAATTACGCAACTTCATCGATCAGCACGTTGATCAACTCTACAAATCACTAATCACTCACGGTCAGTGCCAATTGGCCATACTGGACCGATGCCGAAAGCAGAAACACAGCTCATTATGCAGAAAATACCGAGGTACTGCCATGCAAGTGAGCCATGCTATCAGATTCAGGAAAATTACCAATACTCACGCAAATCCCAATAGCGCAGCCACTGCATACATCAGTTTGGCAAATGTTGGGACATTGTCGGCGCCAGCCGTGTCAGCCTGAGCGGACATGGTAGAGACTGATGACGAGGCTAAAGCAGCAACGACGGCGGGGCGAATTGCAGAAGAGAAACGCATTGTTTGTGACTCTCACGATATGGGATCGGATAATTCTGAAGGGAAGGGATTAGTGGCTGGAAAATAGACGGCTGACTTTTACGTGCTGAATGTTGTCATTTGAAATTCTCCTTGTGTGGTTGTGCCAGCCAAGGTCCATCAGCAATTTGGTGCGGAACTACTGTCTGCTGGACACGCGTTCCCAGCCAGCCATCGACTGGGTCCAAAAGCTTAACATCTCGGAGTCATCTCCACATACTAGCTCCAAGGGTTCGTGTTGACGAACGTGACAGCCCTCTCTGGTCCTAGCACGAAGACCTTGAAAGCGTCAGACTCTTGAATGAATTTTACTTGCGCTGCTATCTCCTTCGCCACCCCCAGGGTCATGCTGAGTATGATGTCGTGGGTTACTGCATGCAAGTGATTGCGTTGGTGTGTAAATAGCCGACAGTCGTGCAATATATGCTCTCGCGTTTGACGGGACTCTCCACATGAGCAGCCAGTAGGCTGAGTTTGCACGAATAAAGCATAGTGCTCTGAGCTCTCCGATGAATCTATGTCCTGTGCGGCACTGTGTAAGGCGGCCATAAAATTGTTGAGTTCTGCACCTATCAAGACATCTCTTTTAGCGAAGCAGGTAAGATGTCACGGACCACGGTTACTTGATATACCAGCAAATTTACATACCAGTAGTAGCCGAATCCACGCTGAAACAATTCTATGACTGATTATTTTTGTCTTCAAGGATATTGAGTTCTTCTTTATCATCTTGAACTTGTAGTAGTTAGTCCTCTTCGTTGAAAGTCAGTCGGGCTCAGAAAGACATATCGTCTCGTCACCATTAATAGCGGATGTGAGCAGTGCATACGGGTTCGAGCAACCCGTCCGGCTTGTTGACAACTTTTCATGGATACAGTTTGGATGTGAAATGAACACAGTACTATGGTTGAAAAGACTCGGGTATCATGTAGAATTACAAATTGTGGACTTCCCATCTGCGTGTGAAAACTCTTGATCATCCTCTTCCTTAGGCCTTAGGCTTCAACACGTTTGTCATGAATACGATCAGCAACAAAGTGGTTGTTGCAAGACTAGGCACGCGGTCGACCATTCAGATAGCATTCACAAATATTAATATTGAACAGTGCGAAATTTTTCCAAAAACAACTGTACTGTACTGTACTGATCGGCTCCGAACTAGGTATTACACCGTCAACCATGATAAAAAAGCGAAAGCAGAAACACGACTCACTATCGCGACGTGCCGCTCGGGCTGCCGGATTAATTTTAAGCAGGCTAGGATCGCGTCTGACAGACCAAATCTCCTCCCTAAGGGGCACATGTGAGTCATGCGGTTGAATCCTTGTTACACAGCGACCTGCTCACATCAGCGCCACAGGTCAAGTTATTGCAGCAATTGCTCGTTTCGCATAACTGTCCCACAGTCGCACATGCACTGACAGACATAGATGCAGTCAAAGCAACAACAACCGCGAGGAGGGAGAAACGCATTTTCTGTGCGAGGTGATATGGGTTCTTCTGAAGGGGATCTCGAATGATATGGGGGAACACTGTAGGACGACGACCAGCTTTTATATCCTGCATCTGCTCATGGGCACGATTCTTCTCATCGATTTTGCAGAACTGTCACATGCAACAAATTTCGGCAGAACCTGTGGGGCGTATTCAATTAACAACGACCATTAAACCATAACTTGCCTGCAGGCATCGACGATTCTCTTCTTCGTAACCACAGAACTCTCGCTCGAATCACCGGTCTCTCGTCCTAACACCTCACTCTTCGCTTCATCATTTGAACCTGCACTGACCCTGCCAGTGCAACGACAAAGTCAAGAAGTTAGTATCATTCTCGCCGATACTTCCGATATGTACTCGGTCGTTATCTCGCGTCATTTGTCGCTTACTGGTTGTTCCCCTATATGTAGCACACCTGGAATTCGCCTACGCCATTCGTAGGCCAGTGACCCTGCAACTGCTGCGCAGATAATGAGGTATCTTTTGGAAATTGATACTCTTTCTCATTCTTGGCATGCGCTTGGTCGAAGATCCCTGGTACAGTAGCCATGGCCACAGCCATCACAGCTCGCTCTATAGTTTTAGACAACCACGACGATATCAAGTTATTCCATGGCAAACCCCGACGACCCTATACTTCCTCGGAGACAAGGAACAGCGTTGATGAAATTAGTGACCATCAACCAACACTGTTCCAAGTTCCTCTTTCTTGTCAACTGTCACTTGTACTCCATCCAACACTCACTCGATGAAGAGAGACACTACCGCTCTCGAGCTCCCCGGAGCTACCATTTGATGGAAAGTACCGGGCAGGAAGTGATATTAATTAAATACTCTTTATCTTTATTCACTTTCATCATAACGTGCGCTCCCATATGACCTGGTGTGGGCTTCGACTATTTGACAGTACAGTCGACTCCCTCCTAACGCATACCTCTTGGGATAGCCCCAGAGGTATGACTTATTAGGGAGTATGGGGTATTCAAGAGAGCAAAAGCCCTGCAAACTAACTTTGGAAATCCAAAAATGTATGTCTTATGAGGGAGTATGGGTTATACCTGGTATGGGTTAGGAGGGAGTCGACTGTAGCAGAAAATAACCCGTCTGTCACGTGACGATGTAGCATCTCGCGATTGTTGGCTCCATCAAGAAATGGATCCATGAGCTAGCCTTCGAAGCTTCAAGCTTCAAGGCCAACGTTAGACGAACCGATTCAAGCTGTGCAGTACGTTCCATCTTCTCAAAATTAATCATCAACAGCAATAGATGCTTGTTTCGACAGCCTCTTGAACTCAAGCTTAGTAATGGACCGCGGGCAAGACTAAGTAAGCACGGATGATCATTTTCAGATAAATTCAAACATTCATATTGCTCGAGCAGTACAATTTTTTTTTCCAAAAGCAACTGTACTGATTGGCTACGAACTGGGTATTGCACTATCAACCATGATATCAAAAGCAGAAACATGACTCACTGTCACGACGTACCACTCAAGTTGCCAGCTGAATTTTGACCGCAGACCAATATTTCTTGCTAAGGGGCGCAGGTGAGTCATGGTTGAATCCCTGCCACACAGCGACCTGGTCATACTCACACCATTAATATAACAATGAAGACCTTGGCAGCAAGGACTGTCTACGCAAGGTCCTCCCTCGCTCGAACATGACTGACAAATATAGATGCTGTCAAAGCAACAACAGCGAGGAGGGAGAAATGCATTTTCTGTGCGAGATGATGAGATCTTCTGAGGGGAATCTCGAATGATATCTCTGAGGATGGGGGAACACTGTAGGACAACGACCATTAAATCATAACCGATTATCTTCTTCGTAACCACAGAACGCTCGCTGGAATCACCGGCCTCGTCCCGATCCATCACTCATTGCTTCATTTGAAACTGCACTTATTCTGCCAGCGCAGCGACAAGTTGAGAAGTTTTTTTAAAACAAAAATTCATTGTTATTGTCCTTTGGGGTCATAGACCTTATGTCGGACATAGCCCTATTCGAGTGCGGGGGGCTTACTCCCGGCTATCTATCGTAAGAAAGTTGAGAAGTTGACACTCACGTCGAGCATTACTACTCGGTCGATATCTCATGTCATTTCTCTCACTCTCACTCGTTGCACCCTTATCTAGTATCTGCAATTCGCCCACGTCACTAGTAGTAGGCCAGCAACTCTACAACTGCTGCGCAGAGATAATCAGATATCTTTCAGAAATTTATACGCATTCTCATTCTTGGCATGCGCTTGGTCGAAGATCCCTGGACCCTGGTATAGTGGTCATGGTCACATCCATCACAGCTAACTCCATAGTTCAATCTAGACAACACGAAGATATCAAGTTATTCCATGGCAAACCCCATCCCATCTGCATGCGAAAACTCTAACTCGGATAAATCATTCTCTTCCTTGGGCTTCAACACGTCTGTCATGAATGCGATCAGAAACAAAGTGGTTGTTGCATGACTAGGCACGCGGTCGACCACTCAGATAACATTCACAATTATTAATATTGCTTGAGCAGTGCGAAATGTTTCCAAAAACAACAACCGTACTATACTGTACTGATTGGCTCCGAACTAGGTATTACATCAACCATGATAACAAAGCTCAAGCAGAAACATGACTCACTATCGCGACGTGCCGCTCGGGCTGCCGGACTAATTTAAGCAGGCTAGAGTTGCATCTTGCAGATCATATTTCCTCCCTAGGGGGCGCAGGTGAGTCATGCGGTTGAATCCTTATTACACGGCGACCTGCTCACACTAGGGTCACAAAACAAGTCGGTGCAGCACATTTCTAATTCGCATGTCAGTCCCTCGGTCGCACATGCACTGACAGACATAGATGCAGTCAAAGCAACAACAACCGCGAGGAGGGAGAAACGCATTTTCTGTGCGAGGTGATATGGAATCTTCTGAAGGGGATCTCGAATGATATGGGGGAACACTGTAGGACGATGATCAGCTTTTATATCTCACATATGCTCATAGGCACGATTCTTCTCATAGATTTGGCAGAACTGTTGTCACACGGAACAAATTTCGGCAGAACCTGCGGGGGCGTATTCAATTAACAACGACCATTAAATCATAACCTGCCTGCAGGCATCGACAATTCTCTTCTTCGTAATCACAGAACCCTCGCTCGAATCACCGGTCTCGTCCTAACACCTCATCCTTCGCTTCATCATTTGAACCTGCACTGACCCTGTCAGTGCAACGACAAAGTCAAGAAGTTAGCATCATTCTCGCCGATACTTCCGATATATACTAGGTCGATATCTCACGTGATTTTTCGCTTACTGGTTGTTCTCTTATATGTAGCACACCTACGCCATTCGTAGGCCAGTGACCCTTCAACTGCTGCGCAGTGATTTTTTGGAAATTAATACTCATTCTCATTCTTGGCACGCGCTTGGTCGAAGATCCCTGGTACAGTAGTCATGGTCATAGCCATCACAGCCCACTCTGCAGTTTTAGACAACCACGATGATATCAAGTTATTCCATGGCAAACCCCGACGACCCTATACTTCCCCGGACACAAGGAATAGCGTTGACGGAATTAGTGTGTGCAAATCTCTGTCTCAGTCTTACATGCAGTGACAGACATAAATACTGTCAAAGCAACAACAGCCGCGAGGACGAAAAAAACGCATTTTCTATGCCTAGGCACGGTCGATCATCTTAGATACATTCAAATATCCACATTTCTCGAGCAGTACGAGATTTTTCCAAGAACAACAGTACTGATTAACTCCGAGCTAGATAAATTCCACCCATTAACTATGATAACAAAGCGAAAGCCGAAACATGACTCACTGTCGCGACGTGCCTCTCAGGCTGCCGGCAGCAGGCTAGTCGGCTCGCAGATGAATTTGTCATTCTAAGGAGCACAGGTGAGTCATGTGGTTGAATCCTTGTTACACAGCGACCTGCTCACACAAAGAAACTCCTTACAGCATTCGTCTACTTTGCATGATATCCCATCGATCGCACATGCACTGACAGACATAGATGCTGTCAAAGCAACGACAACGGCGAGTAGAGAGAAACGCATTTTCTGTGTGAGGTGATAATCTTCTGAAGAGGATCTCGATTCTTGAATGATATCTCTGAGGATGAGGGAACACTGTAGGACGACGACCAGCTTTTATATCCCGGATATGCTTATTGGCACGATTCTCGTCGATTTGGCAGAACTGTTGTCACACGGAACAAATTTCGGCAAAACCTGCGGGAGCGTATTCAATTAACAATGACAATTGAATCGTAACCTGCTTGCAGGCATCGACAATTATCTTCTTCCTAACCACAGAACCCTCGCACGAATCACCGGTCTCTCGTCCTAACCCTCATTATTCGCTTCATTTGAACCTGCACTAGCAGGGCCAGTGCAACGACAAAGTCAAGAAGTGAGTATCATTCTCGCCGATAGTTCCGATATGTACTCGGTCGATATCTCCCGTCATTTTTCGGCTACTGGTTGTTCCCTTATATGTAGCACCTGGAATTCGCCTGCGCCATTCGTATCCCAGTGACCCTGCAACTGCTGCGCAGAGATAATGAGGTATCTTTTGGTGCGTATCTCGACGGTAACCCGTCTGTCACGTGACGATGTAGCATCTCGCTCCATCAAGAGATACTACTAGATCCACGAGCTAGTCTTCAAGCTTCAGCTTCAAGGCCAACGTTAGACGATCAGATTCAAGCTGTGCAATGCATTCCATCTTCGTACGACCTCCCAATATTAACTATCAACAACAATAGAGGCTTGTTTCGACAGCCTCTTGAACTCAAGCTTACTAGTAGTGGACCGGCGCATCAGTAAATTCACACATTGCTTAACGCACTTTTCAGCTACTTGTTGCAAAAATCGACATGCTATTTGCACTTATTGTACTTACTTACTTGTGCTGAATATTTGTCAATGGCAAAAAGCGCATTAAATATTTGTCAAGGGGCAAAAAGCACAAAAAGCACAAAAAGGAGCACAAGCACCAGGATGAAATTAAAACATAGTAGGATAAATACTAAGTAAATAGTAGCTACGAAGAGCGATGGCGCGTATGGGACATCCTGGGGGTGTGAGAACATTTTCAGCGGCTGAAAATTTCAACTATTAGCTACTCAACTTGCTCACCATTCTAAAGATGACGCTCGCAGATATGGTACGCACATCCGTACGTGGATCGATGCGGACACTGACGCAATCAACAGCATCTAGTCCAGTTTGGAGAACGTCAACAGCCAATAGTAACAACGGACCTCTATGACACGCGAGGTAGGCGCAACGAAGCGAGACGATCCGATGTCGAAGGGCGAGGGAGGACTGGGATTGGGTTTTGGAGGGGGCTGAGGGCGATCTTCAGTTGCCTGGATCAAGAGACGCTTGAGGTCATGCATGACCTGGCGTGACGTTGAGGGCCTGCGGAGTGGTAGAGTAAAGGCAAGTTAGTACTAGTACATCTGTGAATGCCGAACGACTAATTCACCTACATTAGTGTTAGAATGTACTTGAATACGAGAACGAATGAGAATTGACGTAACTGGGAATGGATCAGGAGATGGCTGCGATTGCTGCTGCTGACGAGAATCGCTCGTCAGCGTGTCTTGCTCGACAGAAGCTGCTGTTGCAGACCCGCCAAGGAGGGACTGGGAACGGACCAGGGGGAGATGGCCATGGTCGTTGCTGCTGACGAGGTACGTCTTGTCCAGCAGAAGGTTAATAGTCTTGAGAAAGTTCTCGACAGTGAGATCGTCACCTGCCACATGAGGTTGTACAAAGTCGTGATCTTCATAAGGTGGAGGTGGACAACTGGGAGCGGGTGGCAAGCTCGCACCATGCTATTGCGCAAAAGGATAAGCGGCGCTATTCATTAACAGTATGGGCACAGGTACTTTACCTCTGAGGCGGAACTCTTAACGCTGCTGTTGCAGACCCGCCAAGGAGGGACTGACTTACAAAGTCGTGATCTTCGTAAGGTGGAGGTGGACCACGGAATTATGTGCGCTTGAGTTAATGGTAATTGGACTTGGGGAGGGCGAAGTTCGTTGGCAAGATGGTCCATCCTAGCTCCAGGACTTTGAGTTGGTGGTATTTGGAGGAGATTAAGACTTACTGTTCTGCCATAGGAAGGGGGATCACGACACTATCTCGAACACATAGTGATCGGCGTATTTATTGACATAGAATAAGCGGAAAGCATCATAAGAATAAAAATACTTAATGTCCTTAGGAATGAAATCGGGACCGTAGACAGGGATTAAGTGCGCTGCACGGTAAACGGTATCGATATGAATAACAGCGAGGTTTGGGGTGCCATCCTCACAAACACTTGGACGGACTATCCACATGTCAGTATCCTTGTCGGCAGAGTCACTGACCTTATCGAACCAATGAACAAGAGCGCATGGATACGTGGCGGCCCAATTGAATCTGAAGGAAAAAAAACATTTGACTCTGGCAACTTCGAGCCCTTTCATCCCTTCAAGGTTTGAATTGGTGTTGACAAACATGCAATCATTACGGGCATAGACATTACGCCAGAGTGGACATGCACGGATCTGTTCTCGTCGCATGCCACCAATGCCACTGGGATCACTTGGCGCATAAAAAGTCGCAGCAGCAGAATTAAAGACCTCAAGTCTACCATTGTATCGAGAGCAGCTAGCAGCAGGGACATCTTCGGGGTTGCGAGGATCATTGGGAAAGAGTTGCAAAAACAGAAAATGACGGATAAGGCATCGCAGGTATTTAACACCGACCTCTTCTGCTAGTGTTGCTACAGTCTGTGCCCGTGTTCGTTCTAAGCAAAACCTTGGTGAGTATTAAAACCGACACATTAGAGCATTACTTACGAGCAGTCCTTGCAAGCTTGACAGACGAGAGCAGTGCAGTTGGGTCATCAACAACTTCATCGTCATTAACATCATCTTGTGGCACGATAACAGGGGCATCTGGATCATCTTCAAGGACGACAGCTGCATATTGAGTATGCAAAATGATAAGATTAGATACAAAAACTTACGTAGAGCAGCCACAGCTCTTGATAATACAGAGCCAACGAGCATCCCATGAGCAGCGAAGTCTACGCGAGATGCTGCGAGCTTGTCGAGGCGTTGGTTAGCCAAAAGTATTTGGCCAATGGCATTATGCTTGCTAGACCACCTCCAGGGTTGCTTCACCGCCTTAATGTGCTTGGATTCCGTGATCGACGAGCACAATCCATTCGGCGCACCAAACAGTCGGATCATGTCCGCATAGTGGGTCATTGAGTGCTGGCGGGGTAACGAGAAGTGAGAGACTGTGCCCGTGGTTTCGAAGATCTGGTGGTAGTGGTGAAACCGAGCAAGCGCGTCTTTGAGTTGATCCAGACAGGCTTCAGTAATTACATTGTGTTGTGTGATATAACAAAATTATAAAAGCGCGCTGTAGAGACTCATGCCTCTCCTTGTGCAATATTGCAGTTTTCACCAAGGAGTATACAGCACGAACTTGTAGCATCACTCTGTATGCTTCCTACAGCTATTCCTACATGAGGCGCAGCTTTCCCGTGCATCGCGCAATGTGCGCGCAACTTCCCGCGCTTCACGATGTATATGCGTGCGCGCTTTCCTGCGCTTGAGCGCCCTATAGCGCCAGCCATCCGGAAGCATCCATCCACTGTCCACCAAGTTCCCTAGTGCGTATATTTCCATTTCTCACATTTGCATATTGTTCCATCTTTATTTTTATCATGGACCCTTACTTACATATATCCTTACATACCTTACTCGGTAGTGCTTCGGCTCCGCATGACAGTGCTTAGGCGCCATACTTAAGCGCCAGCAGTACATACTATTACTCACTTACTCACCCACCAAAACGACGGAGGACTGAACCAGAACAATACCCATTTACTACCCAGCAGAGCATAGTTGAAATCTATTCCTTGGCACCTCGCATATAACATCTCTCAGCTTGCATCTCTCACCTCTTGTCTAGTGTCTAATCATCACTTAAGCAAACTCCCTCTTACTCTCTCTTGTTTCTGCATACACGCGCACGCATTCCCGTGCTTCGCGCATTCTCGCGCCTCACGCGCACCTGCGCTTTCCCGCGCTTCGCATTCGCCAACCAGTAGCGCCTTCAGCGCCTACTACTAGATCCTTGCTGCACTCGCTTCCCCTTTAGGGTCGAACGCACTTGTCGTCTCAAGTATAGCAGACTAGGCAATGCGCGACCTTACAACACTTATAGATACAACCAGGAGCATTGTTCGTGCCTCGCTGTATCGTTGAACCTTCAGCGCGAAATGCACGTACCATGTCTTGAGGTACGTGGCCTTCGATAGCTGGAATGAAGACCTTCATAAGGGCTTTAGAATCGTTACCCGTCCACTGTTTAAAGCTGCGGCTGTCAGGAAATCGCTGTAGACCAGTGAATGGCGCCACAACAGCAATTCTGACTCAAGGTTAGAGAACACCGGATTAATGAGTGAGGTAGCATACCTTCGATCTATGTCGCTCATGATCTCGTCTCCTTGTTTGGTCCCATGCTCAAGTCTAAGGTACTTTACTACCCAATCCACCAAATGATCCTTGAAAGCGCCTTTGACTAGCTGGTGGAGGAGATCAAATGATATTAATTGATGGATGTCGGCTCGGGGGAAGTCATTTGTGAATGGCTGTACAAAACAGATTAGTGTATAATTTGAGAGCGGGTGGATCACTCACGATGAGAACACTTATGATCCCATATTCATCCCACAATGTATCCGGGTGGATATTTTCATGTATTAGGATATCCGTATGCTCTCGACAGCGTAAGAGACCACCACCATCGAGATCTTTCTGATTTGCAAGGCATCTACAAACATTGTCAGTAAATGTTGATGCTGAATGCGACTTAAAACTCACTTCAGGCACCAATTTTTAACGGTGCAGGACAGCACCAGTTGCTCCTCATAGTCGGCTATGTAGGGTCCCAGGCCAAATATAACACGTTGAAAGTGACCGTCTGCACAACGCAGGACTTCGTACTTGGTCATCACAGGCTTCAGGGTAGATAGAATCGCAGATAGCGAACGGTGAAAAAGCTGCTGGCGAAATACATGAAACAAATCGTCATGAGCATGTTGCCTATCAGCTGTGACATAGCTTAGATAAAGAATATAATTTTAAATATGAATACACATACTTTTAGGTATAGCCAGGAAACTGATGATGACGAGAGTGTCGCAATGAGTGCATCGCACATTGTTGTGCACATTGCTGATCGAGGCATACAGGGGGTAATATTCATTATTACCTGTGCCCACAGAAACAGTGGTCTTGTCGCTACCAAGAATTATCAGAACGAACGTCGATCCATGTGTGTTTGGATCCTTCGATATTTTGTCCTAGTGGATGTCAGGATGCCCCAAGTCACAAGGAATACATGAAACACGTATGGCTTGTTGCCATGCCCAGTCCGCAGACATAAAGTCTCTCCATCAGCGTGTATCATCCAATGCATCATACTCCCGAAATGGCGCATAGTCAATCTCACCCTTGTAGATAGGGTTTGCTAACATGTTATGCACCATGATGCGGGGGTCTCTGTACCAGACCTCGTATTCTCTGTCCATCCACGGAGGAGCATCATGTTCAGGGTGTTCCCCTGTGTATTGAACTGAGAGACATTGCCAAGCGACATTACCAAGTTGTGTGGCGTCGATGACCTTGTGCAAATCCTTGTGATCTGCAAATGGAGGGTGGTCGTTGTGTTTAACAGCTGCGCGCCCATTAAGTCGAGCAATAAGTCTGTGGCTCTGTTAGACATATGGCTTTGTTTGAAAACAAACTCTGCCGTTGCAAATTCAATATCGTTACGATACGGGCTCCAGTCGTGAGGAGACTTCGGTGGGACAGGAGTTGGTGGTGTGCCAGGGGGCAGAAACACACCGTCAGCTGTGCATGGTCGTCCTAAGAGCGTGTCAGAATCAGAACACATGAAAAGCACAGATTGAAAGGTACTTACCATTGAGGAACAAGTGATACGTACAATAGTAACGCTCGCTCGCATCAGTGAATTCTGACTCTGGATCCTCATCATCAGCCATTGGACCAGGTGATGATCGGGGAGGCGAGAAATCAGGAGGGGGTGGCAAGAAATCAGGAGGAGGCGACTGAGATGGAGATGGAAGCTGTTGCGGTTGAGGAAGATCCTGAGCAGGTGCAATGGTATGGCATGCGTGCATGTGCTGAGTGCGGCCAGATATGTTTCGAAACCAGCGCATACAGCCTGGAGATAGGCATGGAAACTGAAGGGCACGGTGAGTAGGCCGTTTTCTGAGCATCGTATGGGTAGTGTTGATGCAATGTATGGACCTAGTGAAAGTTTAACACTGGCTGCTAATACTGGATAAATAATTACCGTGTGTTTGCTTTCAAAGATGCCATTAGGACGAAAATGCGTGCTGCCCCAGAAAGGTTTTGTTAAAATGGACAATTATGTCACCGCACCACTGGAAAGGTTGTGGTGAACATTGATGACGGTCACCCCACCAAAGGAAAGGTTCTGGTGAACATTCCCTAGGCTATTAGACATCATTATACCACCGGAAAGGTTTTGGTGAACATTGATACTTACCGTACTGAAGGTATTTCAATCCGGTGTAGAGACTCATGCCTCTCCTTGTGCAATATTGCAGTTTTCACCAAGGAGTATACAGCACGAACTTGTAGCATCACTCTGTATGCTTCCTACAGCTATTCCTACATGAGGCGCAGCTTTCCCGTGCTTCGCGCAACTCGCACGCGTGCCTTTCCCGCGCTTCACGATGTATATGCGCCCGCGCTTTCCCGCGCTTGAGCGCCCTATAGCGCCAGCCATCCGGAAGCATCCATCCACTGTCCACCAAGTTCCCTAGTGCGTATATTTCCATTTCTCACATTTGCATATTGTTCCATCTTTATTTTTATCATGGACCCTTACTTACATATATCCTTACATACCTTACTCGGTAGTGCTTCGGCTCCGCATGACAGTGCTTAGGCGCCATACTTAAGCGCCAGCAGTACATACTATTACTCACTTACTCACCCATGAGAACAACAGAGGACCGAACCACAACGATACCCATTTACTACCTAGCGGAGTATAGTTGAAATCTATTCCTTGGCACCTCGCATATAACATCTCTCAGCTTGCATCTCTCACCTCTTGTCTAGTGTCTAATCATCACTTAAGCAAACTCACTCTTACTCTCTCTTGTTTCCGCATATACGCGCGCGCATTCTCGCGCCTCGCGCGCACCTGTGCTTTCCCACGCTTCGCATTCGCCAACCAGTAGCGCCTTCAGCGCCTACTACTAGATCCTTGCTGCACTCGCTTCCCCTTTAGGGTCGAACGCACTTGTCGTCTCAAGTATAGCAGACTAGGCAACGTGCGACCTTACAACATTTATAGATACAGTCAGGAGCATTGTTCGTGCCTCGCTGTATCGTTGAACCTTCACCGGGACAGGTCATTTTGTTGAGGGAATTGTGCTGAAAAAGTGCTGGCGAAAATGGACAGTTATGTCACCGCACGACCGGAAAGGTTTTGGTGAACATTGATGACGGTCACCCCACCAAAGGAAAGGTTTTGGTGAACATTCCCTAGGCTATTAGATATCATTACACCACCGGAAAGGTTTTGGTGAACATTGATACTCACCATACTGAGGGTATTTCAATTCGGGACAGGTCATTTTGTTGAGGGAATTGTGCAGAAAAACCGCTGGCGAATATTGATGCTCTGGATGCTGCAATAGACCCTCAATATGTCAAGGAATTAACAAGAAATATCATTCAGAGTCAGCTTTGACTACAAATTGTAGAGTGATGAAACTCACCTTCAACTTGTTAACCCACCGCCTTCAATTTTTGTCAGCCCACAAAACCCTCTATCAATAAAATGTCTCAACCTGATGCAGTCGCAACGCGCATGGGAACTCGACCTAAGAACGCAACTCAGCATCCCGGGCGCATTCTAATCAATAATCGTGGAAAGAAGCGTACCACTGCTGAAAAGGCCACTGACGACCAACGTCAAAGGGAGGCAAAGGAGGCAAGTGAAAAAGCTGTGCAAGAAAGTTATCAGTGTATTGCTACTTTGCAGGCACATATGCAGGCTGACCAAGATGCTGCGCATGTTGATGCACCTAAGCCTAAGCGTCCTCATGCACGCCCAGTGGGGAAGGCTGCAAAGGACTTGAAGACCTCCGACTCAACTATGGATGATGGGCAAGCAGGAGCAAAAATCGTCGCCGATAAGCCTGTTGTCACCAAAGGCAGGGGTCGCGAGGGTGGAGCTAAAAGGTTAGCAGCTGATGCTGGCATCGAACATCCTGCAAGTGAGGATGAGGAGCCAGTCCAAACCAAAAAGAAAAAGAAACTGGCGGTGAGAGAAGCGATTCATGCAGTGTTAAACGCTGGCATTGTTATTGACTCAACAAAGGCATGTGACAGAGAAGTTCAGAAGACGTCTGATGTGTGAGTTTATCTAACAATAACCATGATGATGCTTCTTTTGACTGAAACTACTCTTTTTTTTCTCAACATCTCGACATACGATTCTGATGCTACAAGTTCCCAAAAATTTGCACTTGCTGGACATGTCCCGGGGTGGCTGTCGAACCTTCCTGCGACTGCCCCAAAGCCAGCCGAGTCATTGATGGTGAATCTAACTGCATCTTCCATTTATCCACAGACCAGTCACTCTAAGCTCACAAGGGGGAGCACCATCAGCAGCAATGTTCCGCCCCCACTCACACCCATCAGTACCTCCAATGCTGGAGGCTTTACAGAGTTCAATATATATGTGTCTGATGAGGACGAGGACGACGAGGAGCTTGCAAAACCTCTTTCTCATATTACAAGCAACAAGGCTTACACGGTGAGTCTGATTTTATCTATATTTAAATTCTATGTAGTTTTAACCACAGCTGCAGGGTATTGCAATTGTTCCCAAAGCTCTTGACGGTGTAGAGCCTTCAGATGTTACCCATTGCGGTGCAACCGAGCAGTCTGATCTGATCGAAGACGCCGATGACATTGATGTCTTCGCGGACATCCACGGCCACTTTATAGATTCTGATGGCGCCGACCCTGCTACACAACCTGATTTCCTAAGGGAGTATTATTCTGCCAATCACGAGCCACAGTCCCCGGACCGTGATTCTGACCTTGAACCTCCTCCCCTCGCCCAAAAACCTAGGTCCCGCTCCACCACCCCAATGGATTTTGACTCCCTGGCAAGTCAGAAGCGGAAGCTGTCACCTCCTCTGGACTATGACAACATAATGGAGCTGTCATCCGAGGCCAAAAGTGTGCAGGGTGCCAATGAAGATATGAAGACCGAACCTGTTGACCCAGTATTCACGCGCCGGGTGACCTCTACAGTAAGCTTTGGTGTCTCATACTACATTTTACTGATTAAAAAATATTAGACTAATGTTGCTGCCACGCTCAAAGCCCCTCCAGCAAAGCGGGTGAAGTCTGAGTCCTCCGCTCCCTCCAAGCCAATTGTACACTCTGCATACAGGAAGAAGCATCTTCCTAAGGGTTGTCAGGTAGGAAACAAGTGGGCACGACAGTTCATCCCTACCGTCATTCGCTGCATTGGCGATCTAGATGAAGTATGGACCCTTGCAGATGATGTTGTCTGTCCTATCTTGCAGTCAGTCTGGAATGCGGTCTACAAAAGCAAGATTCCACACACAGTTGTAGCTGATGGGCCTGTCATTGCCATTGTACGTTTTTTTTCAAACACTATTTAAATCTATCATTTCATTTTTTAGACCCTCCAGCGGTTGTCAGAGTGGCACAATACCTTTAGCAATGTGGCCCTCGCCATACTCGCAAACTTCATGACTTCGCAGGATGATCTCAAAACAGATGAGGACCGCCAAGCTTTTGCATTGGCCTTACTCGAAAAGTTCAGCTTCTTATTTGGGGACATCGCGGAGGACGGAGAGGTGTCCAACCCGTTCCAGTCTGACCTCATTGTGCAGGTCCTCGTGCAGCACAAGTGTGCCACGTCTGGCACTGTCGACCTGCCGGGAATGAACAATACAGTGCCGGGGCACTCTTGGTCTTGCCACAGCAGCAGCACGTGTTTTCTACCCTTTCATATGGCTAACTTATCTTACCCTGTATTTCAGATGGAACGTGCCATCAGGCTTTTTGTCAATGGACACATGCTCCTAGGAGACATCGACACCGCTGGCAATGGTCGAGGCAACAAGACCCCACTCGATGTCAATCCATCCACAGGCAACCAGAGCAGCGTCCCCTTGGCATTTTCAGAAGTCAATTGGGGTGCGCACATGAGAGCTTACATGGCGTCTATCAAACGCTTGCCAGACTCGGTCCTTATCCGAAACTTGGAGCTCGCGCAGAGCCTCGCCATGAAGAGGCGTGGTGCGCAGATGGATGTGGACGAAGAATCTGGGGATGAGCGAGCGCTCATTTTCTAGAGGTAATGTCCTTCACTCTCTTAATTTATTTTGTGACTGACTATGAGCTTCGACGCTACTAGTACCTTCAAGGTTGTTCATGCTATGTTTTCTCGTCTTTTTTACATGCTGTCTCATTGCCGCCTCCGCTAGTACTACTAATGTCGTCATACCATTTGCTTTGTCGCGCTCGTTTTTAGCTTCATATTGATCTACTTGCTAGTACTTGTTTTTCTCCTTATTTTACTTTTTTATTTCTGGCTACTACTTAATCCTCTTGTCCACTTGAAATGCAATTGTTTTTCCTCGTAACTGTTACAGACATCCGTAACACCTACAGGAGCTCCAGCTCTGCCTACACCAGCCCCTGCTCTGCTAGACTCCCCACGCGGCGGTGCGCCGCCCGCACTTAGAAAGACAGCAGTCTGGACCGCTGTGACGCCGCCCCTGGCCTAGACGACCTTGTACCTGATCCATGGAGGCTGTACGCCTCATGGTCACCCTAGATCAAAGCGCATGTATACAGCATGTCGCTTCATGAAGATCCGGAGCGCTCTTGGCACTTCCTGTACCTATGCGCAGCCGCACTTGGCGCTGCATGCTTGATCAGAGGTTAAGCCTCATGTACCTTATCTGACCTCATGTCTTGTTATCATAGATCCTAGATATACTATTGATTACAGACTGAGCTAGAACACTTGTAGTTAGACCCTATAAGTAGACAGATTATTGTACTTAGACTTTACTTTAATCTACTAGGTTCATCCCAGAACTTGTTCAGCTAAGCCTCCCAGCTCAGCTGCCTAAGACCGCACTTCTAAGTCGCTCCCCACTTCTTAGCCGTATCCGCTAGCCCTGTATCTCGACGAGTGCCGTCTTACCGAGATCACCGGAGGAACCCTTGACGTTCCGTCAAGCCGAGAACCACCCTCAGCTTCAGTAGACTCACTCGAGTCGTCGCTGAGAAGACCTATCCTAGTTCGCACATGCCGACCGACGGTCAGCGTAACAGTAACAAGTGTGAACAAGTGTATATAGTGTGAACAAGCTGAAAATAAGTGCGAGCAAGTTGAAAATAAGTGCGACAAAAGGGATTGTAATGTAGCTCATTCTAAAAAAAAAGTACAAAAAGTGCAAAAAGTGCAGAACAAATGAAAAAAAAGTGCAAAAAAGCTCAAATCAAGAGGAAGGCATCTTCTTGGCAGCTTGTTGCCACTTGTGACAAGGAGGCGGTTCTGGTTCTTGTCAGGCACTTTCCGCTCTTGGGTGGGACAAATAAGAGCGAAAAAGGAAATTAAGCAATATGTGAATTTACTGATGCGTGAGCAAGACTAGTAGGCACGAATGATCATTTTTCGAACAGTACAATTTTTAACTGTACTGATTGGCTACGAACTGGGTGTTGCACTATCAACCATGATATCATAGCGAAAACGGAAACATGACTCACTGTCACGACGTGCCACTCGGGCTGCCGGCTCAAATTTTCCCGCAGAACAATCTTCCTGGCTAAGGGGCGCAGGTGAGTCATGTGGTTGAATCCCTGCCGCACAGAGACCTGGTCATACTCACACCATACATAATACAAGAAAAACCTTGGCAGCAAAGGTTGCTCATGCAAGATTCTCCCTCGGTCACACATGCACTGACAGACATAGATGCTGTCAAAGCAACGACAACGGCGAGTAGGGAGATACACATTTTTATGTGCGAGGTGATGAGGATCTTCTGAGGGGGATCTCGCATGATACCTGAGGATGGGAGAGCAGTGTAGGACGACGACAAGCTTTTATATCCTGCATATGCTTGATTATCATCTATTTTGCAGAATTATCGTCATTACATGGGAGAAATTTCGGAACCTGGGGGAGCGGAATCAAATAATAACGACCATTAAATCATAACCGGCCTGCAGGCATTGACAATTATCTTCTTCATAACCACAGAAACGCTCGCTGGAATCACCGGCCTCTCGTCCCGATCCCTCAGTCATTGCGATATGTACTCGGTCGATATCTCATGTCACATTTGTTTATGGGACTTTTCCAGCTGTGTCTCAGGTGTTAAGACTGTCGTCCCTTAACCGTTGAGCCAAAAGGCAGTGATAAACAAACCTTGCTGCGCAGGTGTTCATTGTCATATTAATGATGTGAGTATGACCAGGTCGCTATGTGGCAGGGATCCAACCACATGACTCACCTGCGCCCCTTAGGCAGGAAGACTGGTCTGCGTTCAAAATTCAGCTGGCAACTTGAGTGGTACGTTGTGACAGTGAGTCATGTTTCTGCTTTTGCTATGATATCAGGGTTGATAGTGCAACACCCAGTTCGTAACCAATCAGTTTACTATGCTGATTATGGGAACTCAGGTAAGCAGCGAGCTCACAAACCGCAATAGAAGCCTGTTCTTATGCAGGCAAGACTAAGCACCGTGCGGATGATCATTTTCAGATAAATTCAAACATTCATATTGCTCGAGCAGTACATTTTTTTTCCAAAAACAACTGTACTGATTGGTTACGAACTGGGTGTTGCACTATCAACCCTGATATCATAGCAAAAGCAGAAACATGACTCACTGTCACAACGTACCACTCAAGTTGCCAGCTGAATTTTGAACGCAGACCAGTCTTCCTGCCTAAGGGGCGCAGGTGAGTCATGTGGTTGGATCCCTGCCACATAGCGACCTGGTCATACTCACATCATTAATATGACAATGAACACCTGCGCAGCAAGGGCTGTAGGTTCCGCATGGTCCTCCCTCGGACGAACATGCACTGACAAACATAGATGCTGTCAAAGTGGCAACAACGGCGAGGAGGGAGAAACACATTTCCTGTGCGAGATGATGAGATCTTCTGAGGGGGATCTTGAATGATATCTCTGAGGATGGGGGAACACTGTAGGACGACGACCAGCTTTTATATCCTGCATATACTTGATTCTCATCGATTTGGCAGAACTGTTGTCACACGGAACAAATTTCTGCAGAACCTGCGGGAGCGTATTCGATTAACAATGACCGTTAAATCATAACCTGCCTGCAGACATCGACAATTATCTTCTTTGTAAGGCTAACCACAGAATGCTCGCTAGAATCACTGGCATCTCGTCCCGATCCCTTACTCATTGCTTCATTTGAACATGCACTGAACCTGCCAGTGCAGCGACAAGGTTGAACTCATATCGATCATTACTTCAGATATGTCCTCGGTCGTCATTTCTCTCTCTCTCTCTCTCTCTCTCTCTCTCTCTCGTTGTTCCCTCATCTAGTACCTGTACTTCGCCCACGTCACGAGTAGGCCAGGGACTCTACAACTGCAGTGCAGAGATAATGAGGTATCTTTTGAAAATTCTCATTGTTGGCATGCGCTTGGTCGAAGATCCCTGGTATAGTCATAGCCATCACAGCTCGCTCTACAATTTTAGACAACCACGACGATATCAAGTTATTCCATAACAAATTCCGACGACCCTATACTTCCCCGGACACAAGGAACAGCGTCGACGGAATTAGTGACTATCAACTAACGCTCTGCCAAGTTCCTCTTCCTCGTCAACTGTGGAGCGGGGCGCTCTGGCAGGTCGGGTCCTGGCGCAGGAGCAGGAGTCCTGGCTCATAGTCGGTAGTCCTCATGTGCATCGTAGCTGTCCTCGATAGAGAGAGCCGTAGCCTCCCGCTATAGAGGTCTGGTCTTGGTTCCCTTGCAATCCGTGCCCGTTCCAACTGTCCCTTGTATCCCATCCGACACTCGCTTGATAAAGAAAACCACTCCCCTTTAAGTGTATAGGCAGTAATATCATCACCTTTTTGCCCCCCTCTTTCACTTTCATCATAACGTGCGCCTTCGAATGCTTGTTCCAAAAGTATCTCGAAATCCAGCCTCAAGTTAATGGAACACCACTCATAACCAATCACCTGATTGTTTGCCTTGATCGTCAGATATACAATTGGTATCCACGCTTCTTAGTCACTAGACGGGTATAAAATATGCGTACACAATAAACGCGCAGCCCAAGTGCACGCGGCGCATAGAGTAGCGTAAAGTACATCAATGACCAGCACCGGGATTGGTACAATGTGGGGTAGTGCAGTAAAGTGCGTGTGTGCGTGCGTGCGGTGTAGGAATAAGTACGTGATGAGGTATGCAAACACGCGTGGTGTGCGAGGTATAAGCGTGTGTGCTGTGTCTACTATCTGAGACACGCAAGGATGCTGTTCTAGAAGTCTCTGTCTCTGTGATGAGCTTCAATCAGGTCTTTCCATCGAAAAAAGTAAGAGGTCGACGCACCGATTCCAATCTAAACCCTACGATTCCTCCAACTCGAAATCAAGCGAATCCCGATCCGAGTCCATGACTCTTGTGTACTCGAGAAATAATCTGAGGGATAAGAATAAGAACACGTCAACATCGCGCGCAGCGCACCAACCCACTCACCTATATAAATAAGCCACCATATCCTCCTTCCTCCAAAAACTCAAACTCCACTCCCTCCCTCTCCTCGCAATCTTCTTTGCAAGGTCTTCATGCGCACCATGCCCGCTCGGGTCCCCGTGGAAGAAGAGGAGCGCGTCGTACAGGTCTGAGTAGTCGACTTGGATGGGGACATAGTGCACCCAGGGGGCGATACGGTGGGTGAACCTTTTTAGATAGGAATTGTTGATTTTGGATTAGATGAGGGAGGAAGAGGGAGGAAAGGAAAACGCCAAGAAAAATTAAAACACGATAAGAAGAAAAAAAGGAAAGGAAACACACCATTCAGGATATACCGTAGACTTGAACACAACCGAATTACTCGTCATGAGCCTCTTGAACCGACTTGACCAGCTGTTTCCATCCATCTGCCAAAACCGTCAGTAAAAGTCGACCTGGTCATACTCACACCATACATAATACAAGTAAAACCTTGGCAGCAAAGGCTGCTCATGCAAGTTTCTCCCTCGGTTGCACATGCACTGACAGACATACTAGATGCTGTCAAAGCGACGGACGACAATGGTGAGTAGGCAGACACGCATTTTTATGTGCGAGGTGATATGAGATCTTCTGAGGGGGATCTCGAATGGTATCTCTGAGGATGAGGGAACACTGTAGGACGACAACCAGCTTTTATATCCTGCATATGCTTGATTCTCATCGATTTGGCAGAATAATTGTCGTCACATGAGAGAAATTTCGGAACCTGGGGGAGTGGAATCAAATAATAACGACCATTAAATCATAACCTGCCTGCAGGCATCGACAATTATCTTCTTCGTAACCACAGAACGCTCGCTGGAATAACCAGCCTCTCGTCCCGATCCCTCACTCATTGCTTCATTTGAATCTGCACTTATCCTGCCAGCGCAGCGACAAGTTGAGAAGTTGGCACTCACGTCGATCATTACTACTCGGTCGATATCTCATGTCATTGCTCTCACTCTCACTCGTTTCACCCTTATCTAGTACCTGCAATTCGCCCATGTCACTAGTAGTAGGCCGTCGACTCTACAACTGCTGCGCAGAGATAATCAGATATCTTTCAGAAATTTATACGCATTCTCATTCTTGGCATGTGTTTGGTCGAAGATCCCTGGTATAGTGGTCGTGGTCTTATCCATCACAGCTCACTCTATAGTTATAGACAACACGAAGATATCAAGTTATTCCATGGCAAACCCCGTCCCAACTACATGCAAAAACTCTGACTCGGATACATCATCCTCTTCCTTGGGCTTCAACATGTCTGTCATGAATGCGATCAGCAACAAAGTGTCTGTTGCAAGACTAGGCACGCGGTCTACCATTCAGATAACATTCACAATTATTAATATTGCTCAAGCAGTGCAAAATGTTTCCAAAAACAACCATACTAGACTGTACTGCTTGGCTCCGAACTAGGTATTGCACCATCAACCATGATAACAAAGCTCAAGCAGAAACATGACTCACTATCGCGACGTGCCACTTGGGCTGCCGGATTAATTTAAGCAGGCTAGGGTTGCGTCTTGCAGATCATATTTCCTCCCTAGGGGGCGCAGGTGAGTCATGCGGTTGAATCCTTATTACACAGCGACCTGCTCACACTAGGGTCACAATACAAGTCGGTGCAGCACATGTCTAAATCGCATGTCAGTCCCTCGGTCACACATGCACTGACAGACATAGATGCCGTCAAAGCAACAACAACCGCGAGGAGGGAGAAACACATTTTCTGTGCGAGGTGATATGGAATCTTCTGAAGGGGATCTCGAATGATATGGGGGAACACTGTAGGACGATGATCAGCTTTTATATCCTGCATATGCTCATAGGCACGATTCTTCTCATCAATTTGGCAGAACTGTTGTCACATGGAACAAATTTCGGCAGAACCTGCGGGGGCGTATGTCGAGTGCCGAACAATCCGAGTCGTCGAGCGCCGAAAGATCCGAGATAGTGACGAGGGGAGAATGAGAGTTATGAGCGCATGCCCTATTGGGCGCAGATGTATGATGAGTGATGTCGGCTCACGTCCTACAAAATAGTTTCCATCTTTTTGTCAATATTCATGTAACCAAGGTACTCACCTTATAAGCAGTGTCTGTAGCGTACAAGCATCTCAGTTCTTCTGGAGAAACTGAGATGTGAGTAAACATTTGTACCCGGCACCTACCATGTCTAACGCCTTGTAGTTACCTTCTGTTATAGGTACATAGAATTGTTAATAAGAGTTCTTCTGGAGAAACTGAGATTTACCTTCTGTTATAGCATCCGCACGTCTCCCGCTCAAATCTTAACTCTACAGGTTATGAGCCCTGCCCCGACCATGGACTCTGCGCTCCCCGGTACCAACTTTAACCTCTTTAACGTTCCGAAGCTTGCCGAGGACGGCTCGAACTGGATAACCTATAAGGAACGAACATTAACAGCCATAGGTGCCCGAGGTTTGATGCGCTATATTGATGGTCACGCGAGCGAGCCAATCCCATTCAACGTTGACCCTACAACGAAGGCTGTTACAAAGCCGGATGGGACAATGCCCTCGCAGACAGAGAGCGAGGAGTTAGACAAAAAGACCGACGAATACCAGCAAAAGAACTCACTGGTAAAGCAACAAATATTCTCCACGATTACTGATTGCCTGTTGTTGCAGGTCCAAAAGCTGAGAGCTGCGTCCGATATCTGGGATGAGATATGTCAAATTCACGAAGGAAAGACGGAGCTAGTCCAGATAGACTTACGACGATGTATGCAGGAGACACGCTGCGAGGAGGGAGGTGATGTAAAGGGCCATTTCGCCGAGCTGTTGAGGCTCCGAGAGTCGCTGGCTGGTATGGGCGTCATACTAGTCGACACGGACTTCCATGCTATCATCCTGGGATCCCTTCCCGAGTCCTATCGACCTCTACTATCCTCGATTAGTGCTGCTGCCAAAATCACAAAGACCCCACTCACCTCCTACGAGCTCATTAGCATTATCACCGAGGAGTATGAGCACCGGCAGCTTACCGAGCGTCGCCCCAACAAACGAGGGAAAGATGCCGCATTCTCGGCAGCCAAGCCACAGCACTCATGACCCAAAGCCTCGGAAAGCGCGAGCGACAAGAACCAGGAAATCACCTGCTTCAACTGCAACAGGAAGGGTCACTATAAAAGTGATTGCTGGCGTCCAGGAGGAGACAAAGAGGGACAGGGTCCATGGCAGAGAAGAGGCAAAAATGACCGTTCGCAGAAGCAAACGGCCAACACTGCGTCGCAACTGGACCCCCCAAAAGATGACTATGCATTTGCAACGTCAGATCTAGCAAACATTGCAGAGGGTCTCAATGTACCTATGGAGCGCCGTGGAGCCATAATGGACTCCGGCGCAATGTCTCACTTCTGCCCCGATCGTTCACGATTCGAGGACTTCGAGTCTATAGCCCCGCAGGACATACATACGGCTGATGGGTCCAAAGTTAGTGCGATAGGACGAGGTAACGTCAAAATAGACTTACCTCTGGGTACCAAATGTACCAGTGTCACCCTCCATAACGCGCTCTATGCACCCAAGATGGCCTTTATGCTCGTGTCCACGAATTGTATAACGGCCGCAGGCCTCGCTGTCCATTTTGAAGGACGCATGTGTTGCATCTTCTCCGCAGGACCAAAAAGAATGCTGATTGCCGAGATACCGCAAGTCGATGGACTCTACACCATCACCACACACCCTAAGCACCATGCAAATGTTGCAAAAGGAAAACTCACCATATCCCAAGCCCATCGCATTCTCAGTCATATCTCCCAATCCGCTGTGAAGCAGATGGCCGAAGCAAAGCTGGTGGAGGGCATGGAGGTGGACACGTCAACGGTGCCAGAGTTCTGCGATGTCTGCATGAAGGCCAAGGCCACATGTCAGCCGTTTCCCGATGAGGCAAAGAACCGCGCACGTACCTATGCGGAATTAGTCCACACAGATGTGTGGGGTCCAGCTCAAACGGCAAGCATCAGCGGGTGTACCTACTACGTCTCCTTCACGGATGACTTCTCCTGCGAAACGAAGGTCAGATTCTTAAAAGCAAAGAGTGAGGCACTTACAGCGTTCAAACAATACGAGGCCAACGTCACGCGACAGCGCCCAGACACGACCATTCAAACACTCCGTTCTGATCGAGGGGGAGAGTACCTGTCAGCAGAGTTTGATAAGTACCTGCAGGACCAGGGGATAGAATGGCAGCTTACCGTCCATGACTCCCCACAGCAAAACGGTGTCGCGGAATGCCTGAACCGAACCTTAGTGTCCCATGCCCGTGCAATGCTTCTGGCGCATGATCTACCGAAATACCTGTGGGCCGAAGCGGTCAACTATGCAGTCTGGCTGAAGAACCGCGTACCTTCCAGAGCCGTACCAGGCCACACTCCATACGACCTCGTTCACGGCTCTAAGCCGAACCTGGCCTGTGCCCATGAATTTGGGACCAAGGTGTTCGTACACCTGCAGGATACCGGAAAACTGGAGGCGAAGGCGGCAGAGGCAGTATTCGTGGGGGTCGACGAGCAGAGCAAGGGTTTCCGCATCTATTGGGCGGAGAAGAGGAGGGTGTCTGTGGAAAAGAACGTTAGCTTCGTTCCAGGAGCAATGGTTGTTGAAGTTCCGGACGAGGGGGAGTCCAGCAACACATCCAGCAAGATAACCGTCCAGAACACCAGCAACGACGCACCTTCCACCAAGCCTGACCCAACCGGACAGGTAACACCGCTCACCTCCCAATCTCACCCAACTAAACAGGTAACACCACTCACCCAGCCGGTTCCAGAATGCCAGACGCGCGTGAGACCACCCATTGGCTACTATGCCACCCTCCATCATGGAGAGAAGGCGTCCATTGCCCTCCACAGTGTCCTGGAGGAAGAAGAATCAGATCTGGTAGACAAAGAGATACCTTACCTTGCGATGGCAGCAGCAGAGAAAGAGCCGACGCTGCAACAAGCGCTAAACGGACCGGACGGAGTAGAGTGGCAGGAAGCTATAGACTATGAGATTAGTCAGCTCGAGAAGCTTGGAACATGGGAAATAATGAACGCACGTTGTGGCGTCAACGTCATACTGTGCCATTTCGTTCTGGCAACGAAACACAGTGTAGGGATTCATTTCTGGCTAGGCTTGTAGAGACTGTCTTTACCTTACCTTATGTTGGCACTTTGTAGCTTACATAATCAAGTTACCTTTTCACCAGTTCTACTATGAGTCTGAGTATTCAGCAAGTTTCTATCATATTTCCTCTTCTCTGAGCCTTGAGCCTGGTCCAGAAACCCTTTAGGGTCGAATAGCAGCTAGGTTCTGCAAGACCCAACATTGTTCAGACTCACCATCTGAATTGTTGTACCTTCAACGGACCGGATGGACAGAAGCTCAAGCTCTGCGCGCGCCTCGTGGCAAATGGACAACATCAGCAACACGGGATCGACTACTTCGACACCTTTGCACCCACCTCCAACATGTCCACCATTTGGACCGTTCTAGCT